AGTCAATCACCAAGCCTGGGGGCAGACGTGGGGGTCCCCAGCAGACAGGCACGAAAACAAGAGAGGCTTCGGGGGGAATGCCAAGGTGTGGGGGCCTCACGTTCAGTTCCCTTCACTTTAGCGCAAATCTCTAAAGAGCATATTTGGAATTTCAAACACACTGACGTTTTCAACATTTTTTAAATGAACACAAAAAGGTTCAATTTCCCTTCTTTCAGGGATAAAAACACGATCACAGATTTTAGTGACATTTCAAATGTGTTCTTGCCTTGCCACGACGAGGTGTGGTCATGAATGAACTTGGTTGGAGAGCATTGGTTTTTCCCTGGGCTATATTTTTGTATTCCTCTAAGGAAAAAAATACTTTATTTCCATTCACTGGCAAATTGGGAACTGCTGTTTCTTATTTGTAGATCTTTTTGATGGATATAAGAGTTGTCAGTGAAACTTCCATAATTTAACATCTGCAAACAAGCAGTAAGACCGATCACAAGAATGGCAGAGAATGAAGAGTAACTATCACAGAAGGCTTGTAAATTCCAGACACATAAAGCCTTACATTAATTATCGATAGACTCTTGTCTTCCAGTCTCCTTCAGCCCTATTTTTAAAATTTACTGAGCTACCCCAAATCCTGCCATGATATCTTAGCAGACATTTAGCGAAGTGGAAACTGAGGCAGCAGAGCCATTGTTGACCAAAAGACTGAACTAGTGCTGTAATTAGTTCATTGCTGGATGACAGCAACAAACTGTGAGAGAAACACATCCTAGCGGGTCTTTATGAAACACAAAAATAAAAAGCTTCTGTGGAAACCGGGGCGTTTCACTTGAGCAGACACTGGGATGTGTCATAAATTAATCAAACGATGGCTTTCGAAATCAGGAAATGCAACCATGTCAAGTAAAGGCTTTATTATTTGTTAAGATATCTTAAGTTGATTCTTAAAAAGCAGATTTCTTTTTGTTCTGAAAGCCTAATGACCCAGCTGTGTGATGCAGACAGACCTGCTCTAAATTAAAATCCAATGAGGGGCCACTGTGACAGGCAGTACACTTACCACTATATACTTGTTATTTCTGAAGAGTAAATTAGTTTCAGTGTATGGATAGTTCTGGTGAATCTTTTAGGCCTCTAAATAATGAGGCTGGTTTTCAGGGGGAAAAAATTTCATTATTTACTTTTCCATAAAATGAGTTTTTCAATGTCACTCAGGTTTTTCTTACCCATTTTATCAACTATTTACTTTTCAACTGAGTGTCCATTTTGAAGACTATCTGCATTTTCCAAAGAAGGTAAGTCAGAATTCCCAGTAAAATGTGGTATCCAAAAGCTATTCAGAGCCATCTCTCAAATC